AGGCTACACTCTCCCACCTCTATGACTTTGCCTGGAACACCCTCCTTGTTATTGCCTTTTAAAATCATACTCATCCCTTAAAGCCCACTTCAAGTTCTCTAAAGAAACGTTACCTGATCCACCCAGTCCATAAAGACCTTTCTAGCCCCACAACCACAGCCCACTGAATCACTCCTATCATTCACCTTTGTTTGCTAATACTCACTAAAGTGATCTGGAAACATTAGAGAAATAGACCCTATTATGACAGTCTGTGCAATATTTTATCCCCCTTGGATTATGAGAACCGTGAGGGTTTTTCTAAACTTCTAGCCACAGTACTGGGCCCTACAGTCATTCAACAAGCATATATTAAGGGTCTACCATGTACTGGGCACTGTGCTAAGCCCTTGGGGTACAAAGAAAGGCAAAAAAACAATCTTAACTCTCAAGGAATTCACAGTCCAATGGGGGAGGCAACTCAGAAAGGACTGTTTATAGATAAAGACAGGATAAAACAGAATAACCAAGACAGCAGGCACTCAAATGTTTGCAGAATTAAAGTTCCCTCCAAGTACTATAACATGTACACACAACAGTGCCCCCGTAAGAACTCTACAGTATGTTTGACTTATCTATAATTAATGTGTTGCTTATAACACATAACATCTGTTACATATATAGCACTCATTTTCCTGAGCTCAAATCCAGCCTCAAACACTTAATATTTGTGTGACTCTAGACAAGTCACTTCACCCTGTTTGTCTCAGTTTTCACATCTATAAAATGAGCTGGAAAAGGAAATAGCAAAACACTCCAGTGTGTCTGCCAAGAAAACCCCAAATGGGGTCAGGAAGAGTCAGACATGGCTGAAAATGACTGAACCACAACATATAGCGCTCTAAGTTTGCCAAGCACTTTATATTTAATTATCTTATTTGATACTCATAGCTACCCTGTAAAATAGGTGAGAATATAGTAAACATTTCACTCACCATTTTAATTCTTTCCTTAGAAAGATTATCTTTTAGAAAGATAATTTGGATAGCCCATGTCTCTTTAAAAAGCTGTCCCTGGAAGTCTGAAATGATCTTTTTTTTTTCCTCTTCTAGATAAATTTCCCTATAGCAAGACGAGGTATGCAAAATGACAACCAATCATTCTTTTCAAAAATAGCCATTAGAGCATATGAATATTTGAAGGCTGCTAGCTAGGGTTCAGAGAGCAGAAGTCTGGTCTTCATTCACTTTTTTTTCGATCTCATCACCTGTTTTGTAGCACCTTTCCTCCACTCTCTTACCCATCCAAAGGTCACCCCCCCAAAACCGGTATAATGACAGGAGATGGGACACTAAAGTCCAAAGATATATAATCAAATCACAGTTCTGCTATCTACACAGATTGGGCTTTTTCTGAATCTTTTCACTTAAAAAAATAAACAAACATCCTCAGCCAGTTTGGTAATGGGATAGATATGATCATCCCCATTTTATCTAAGGGAAAATAGGCTCAAAAGGTGAATTATCCAAAGTCACATAGAAAAAATGGTGTGCCTAGAACTCTAGTTTTTCAAGACTGGTTGGGTTAGGTTGTTTTGTTTTCCTATGTTAGCTTTATGTTTCTATCCTAAGGACAAGTTCCCAGATGTTACCAAGCATAGCAGTACTCTCAAAAATCAATTTCGGAGCTCTCTTGGGCTAAAGCTTGGGCTATAGGCTGGCATTCCCATGGCCAGTGAGTTGGGAGGGAAGAGAGGAGGTAAAGTAGTTGGAATGGAGGGGGAGAGGTAAGAGAAAGAGGGAGAATTACTGCTGTGGAAAGTAGTTGACATGGAGGGAGCAGGCCTAGAAAAATAGTTGGTCCAGGGGAAAGAAGGATCTAGCACAGAGAGAGTAGCTGATCCTGTGGGACAATCACTGTTGGGGGCTTAGAAAGGAGGGAGGAAAGAGGAACAGCTGCCCTCTAGAATTAGAACAGGGAGTTCTGATTTAGCATCTTCCATTAGATTCACACTTGTGGAGTGGATGATACGCTCCTCTCTACATAAATTCCTAAGGATAAGTGACCAGTCCCCTACTAACTCAAGGAGTTGACCCAGAATGGTACTCTCTCTCCCCCAGAGCAGAACAAAGCCTAGGAATCTGGCCTGGTTCTAAGGCAACATCACCAGGGCTTAATGCAGGCCGTTTGGGGATGGGGGTGAAGGACCCTGGGCAACCACAGGGTCAGCCTCTCCTTCTTAAGTGTTATTGATCCATTAAATATAACCACAGGCACAGAATCAAGGCCACTAAGCATCTCCATCCCTAGGAGGGCCGGAATTGAGTGCCCAAGCATGTATGCTCTACTCCTGAGCTGCTAGGGGTGGGGAAAGTGGAGGGGAGAGAAGAGAGAAAAGGTGCTGGGGGCCTCTGCCATCCCAGCCCCAGTTTCCAATGATGGATCAGGATCAGATGTCTGCTGGGGCCTGAATAATTCATAGCTGAGCCAGAGAGAGACAAGTCCTAGAGCTCCTTGGGCCTGTTTTCTGTCTCTTTAAATCAATTGTTGGGGAGGATATGGTGGTAGAGAGCCCCTCTGAGCTCTGCAAAAGAAAGAAGCTCCCTCTCAACCCTGTCCACTTCTGCTTCAGCTTGCTCCTCAGTCCACTGCTTCACCCCTCTACAGAATCCTTGAGAAACATCCTTTTCTTCTTCCCGATCCCTACCTCTCCATCCCCCCACCCAGGTACCAGTAGGCTGGGAAGCCCAAGGTCTGCATCTGGAGTTGTCTATGCAATAGAAGGAATACTACCTCCATCCTTCCCTGTGGCCCTCTCTTCTCTGTTCTCACACGACCCAAGCTTCTCTTCAGCGTGTAGGTGGCTTCTTAAGTTGCTATGATTGAAAAAAATATTAAATCAACCAGAAGAGCATTCCTTTCTACAGCACTTGACAGTTTCTATAAAACCTGCACATAATATATAAATTACTTATTGTAATAGAGTGACAGAGAGCCCTGAGCTGGGAGTCAGGAGACCTAGGTTCTAATCTCAGCTCTGACACAGACTCATTGGCTCATTTCTCTGGGCCTCATTTTCCTTCTCTGTAAAAGCCGCAGCCTCAGTGATTTCTAGGGTGTCTTCTAATTCTGGCATTCTAGGATTCAAGTTCTATGAACTCCCCTTGGGAATCTTCTGGGATTCAGCCAAACCTGTGCTGATCACTCCAACTTTGATATGCTCAGGTATCTGTCTCCTCTGGCCTAGATATAGAAGAGTTCCTTAAAATTCATTTCCTAATTTTCCACATCTGTAAAATGAAAGGGTTGGGCTAGATGGTCCCTTCCCATGTTTTATGTAATAAGGACCTTCTCAGATCTGACATTCTATGAACCCACTTATTTTACTGGATTCTCAATATTCCTGAGAGAGAGGCAGGGCAAGCACAATGATACCCATTTTATAGAATAAAAAGAAAAAAGTTGAGGACCAGAAATAGGAAGTGATTTGCCCAAGATAACACAGCAAGTTAGTGGCAGAGCTGGGACTCCACCCTCCTCTTCACCCCTAGATTTGCAGACTAGGTCTTTTTCCTCCACAAAATAGGATTTTTTGATTACTAGTATTAGTATGTTCTTAGTATAAAGGCAATTCAGGATCATTATGGGAAAACTCCCAGGTTTCAGTTAGGTCACCAATATAATAAGACCAGACCATGAAGCCGATTAAAGGAGTTTAAAACACAGATGAGTGAAAGCTGAGTCACTGACTGCCCACCCTTCCTTCTTTGAGCTCCTCTTGTATGCCAAGGCCTGTGCCAATGAGAGGACAAGAGGAAGGCAAAACAGAGGAGACACTAACTGAAGAACATACCATCTAAGCCCTCAAGAAGCCTAGTCTGACTGGGGAAGGGGAAAAAAGATACTGACAATCAAAACGGTAGATAGGGACAGTGAGCGCTGGGAGAGATAAGTGTGGGCTGGGGAGGTGGTCAAGAAATGCTTCCCCTAGGTGGGATCTGAGGTGGGCAGGGAGATAACTGAGAGACAACTCAGACTATCAGAGCTAGAAAGGGTTCCAAGGAATCTTCTAGTTCAAACTTTTCATCTTTTAAATGGATTGAGAAATGACTTGTCCAAGGTTGTACATAAGTTAGGGAGCAGAGCCAAAGTTAACACAAAAGAGTGGGGTTAAAGGGAATGTCAGAACCCTCATTTATCCCTACTCCAATTAGAACCTCGAGAAAAAGACTCAAGGCTGATATCAGGAAGGTAACTTTGCAAATTTGCCCTCCCTCTCCCCTAGTTAGGGAAGGTCAGTTCTTGGCTGGAGGTAAGGGAAGGGGAGGGGAGTGTCACTCAAATCCCTAACCTCGAACTCACCCTGGAAGAACCTTCCACCTTGGGGGCTCCCAGACTCTCTACTTTCCCCACAGTTGGAAGAGTGCAGGAAGATTTAAAGGAACAGAAGAAAATGGTTGAAGGGTGGAGGAGACCAATTCCACTGATGTGATGGAGCCACAGTGCTGAGTTGGGGGGAGGGGGGAGAGAAGTGAAGGGAATAAAAGGGGGAGGAGGGGCGGGGAAAATGGAGAACTCTAGAGAGTCCAGAGTCTGGGCCGCCTTCTCGACTCCCCCGCCCGCCCGGGACCTAAGGAAGAAGAAGGCGTGTCCTCCGTGCCCGGGAGGAGGGAGAAGAGGGAAGGCAGAGTGGTCCAGTAGTAAAGTCCTCCCCACACCCGGGCTGTCCTGGCGCGGTAAGGGGTAGGGAGGAAGCTGAGGCGTGCTTCACATCTTTCTGGAGAACCGATCTCCAGTCCGCAGCCTAACCATCCCTCCCCACCCACTTCCCCAAAGGGCACCTCGGGCTTCCAGCTGCAGAGAAACAAGCCAAGCCAGCCCAGCCCAGCCCAGCCCAGCTGGGCTCCTCCCTTCTTGACCCAACTCACTTTCTGAGGGGAACCGCGACCTTTATACTCTCCCCCCACCCCACGCCGTCCAAGCTTCCTTCCCGGGGGGGCCTGGATGTGGAGGCGGAAGCTATGGTCCCGCGCCCTTCGCCTCCCAGGGCTCCGGCCGCCGCCCGGGGCTCGGGGCTGCCAGGAGTCCTGGGTCCTCCGCCGCTGCCGCCTCCCCCGCCTGGGCTCCCGCCGCTGCTGCTCGCGCCACCGCCGCTGCTCCTGCTCCTGCTGCTTCTCCTCCTGCTGAGTACGCCGGCCGCTCCGTGCCCCTATCAGTGCTACTGTTTTGGGAGCCGGGAGACAATACGCTGCAGCCACATCGTCCTACAGGAACTGCCCCGCGACCTGCCCGCCGACGCGCACAACCTCAGCATCGTGGGCTCCAACCTGACGGTCCTGCGCGCCGCCGCCTTTGCCGGGGAGGAGCTGCCCACGGCCGAGGGCAATAGCAGCGGCGGCGGAGGCTGGGCAGTACGTCTGGCCAACCTCACATCCCTACTGCTCAACAAAGACAACATCCAGGTGGTGGAGGACGGCGCCTTCTGGGGCCTGCCCCGCCTGACCTCCCTGGACCTCAGCTACAACCCGTTGGGCGTCCTGGGTGCCGCTGCCTTCCGTCTACTGCCCGCCCTGAGGGTCCTCAGGCTCAATGCCGCCGTACGCGGGCTTGGTGAGCAACTGGACGCCGCCATCCGCGGCCTGGCCACCCTGCGCCGCCTCGAGCTGCAAGCCAATGAGCTGACCCACCTGCCGCCCTCCGCCCTGGATTTGGCCCAACTAGAACTGCTGGACGCGCAAAGCAACGCGCTGACTGGGCTGGCGCCGGTTGAACTGCGCGCGTTGGGCAGGGAGACCCAGGGGACCCCGACGGCTCCGGGCCCTAGAGGCCTGAGCGTGTGCCTAGCAAAAAACCCCCTGCTCTGTGACTGTGGGGTGCGGGCGCTTCTGACCCTACTCAACAAGGCCCCCTGGCAGGTGCCTGACGCGCGCAGTCTGCGCTGCGCCGCGCCCCTGACGCTCCAAGGCGTTTCTTTACTGGCCTTGAACGAGTCAAAGCTGAGCTGCGCCCAGGGTCCCCCAGAAAAGGAGGAAGGGGATGAGGAAGGGAAAAGAAGGGGGAAAGAGGAGGAGGGGCCGGAGGGGAATGAGGAGGAGGGAACCGAGGGAAGGGATGAGAAAGGGCAGACGGGTACTGGGGAGGAGTTGGAAGCGTCCTACGTCTTCTTCGGCATCGTTCTGGCGCTCATCGGTGTAGTCTTCCTTATGGTCCTCTACTTGAACCGGCGAGGCATCAAGCGCTGGACGCGCAACCTGCGCGAGGCGTGCAGGGACCAGATGGAGGGCTACCACTACCGCTATGAACAGGACGCCGACCCCCGGAGGTCTGGCACCGCCAGCTCGTCTGGCACCCTCTGAACGCGGCGCTCTCGGTCAGGCAGACTGGTCTGCTAGGAAGAAGAGGGAAACTTAGCCCCTATCTCCACCCAACCTTTGGCTCTTAGCCCCTACCCATCCTTTCCCGTCTTCAGCATTTAGTCCCCAATCCCTCCCCTTGCCTCAACTAATCCTTAGCTCTTAACCCCTCCTATCAAAATTTAGGCAGTTTGCTCCACCTGGTAAACCTGTTATTTAGTCCCCGCCTATTTCTCGACTCTTAGCTTCTCCCCCAAACCCTAGTCTTGGGCCCTCTCTCAAGTTTTAGGCACTTAATATTCCCCGTTATTAGCCACCCCCGAACGCTATCCCCCAGACCTGGGGAAATTAGGACGCAGCCTCGAGTATAGCAAGCTCTTCCTTCTCTTCCTATGCTTTCTCCCCCCCTCCTCTTCTTCCTCTTTCTCGTCCTGGTATTCTTCCTCTGCTTCCTAGCCCCTCTCCTTTCTTTTCCTCCATCTTCTCTTTTCCTTTTTTCACTCCTGCCCCCCTTCTTTATTCCCCTCATCTTCTACCCTACTCCCACACCTCTCTCCTCCTTTGGTTTTGGGCTAGGGAGAAGTCATTAGGATACTAACTGAGAGGGAGGAAAAGATGAGGAGAAATCTCACCTTAAGGCTTTGCGGAAATAGAGGAGTTTGAATGCACTCCCTGAACAGACAGCTGGACTGCTCTCAGGGCCCATTGCTGCTAAAAATGGTGCCTCCACCCCATTCCACCTATTCTCCTCTCCCTTACCCACCCAATCCTCCTTCCTTCTCTCCGTTCTCATCAGGTGAGATATTTATAGAGCTCTTAGCACAGTGCCTGGCACATAGTAGACGCTATATAAATGCTTATTCCCTCCCCTCCCCTATTTATTCCTCTTCTTTCTGTATTCCCAATACACTTCCTTCCCACATTTGTCCCTCTCCTCCCTCCCTTTCCTCCTTTTTTCCTCTCTTCCTATTTTCATCACACTTCTCCCTCACTTGAAATCTCTTTCCTCCCTTTCATGGAAAATTGAATGTTAGAGCTAGAAAGGACCTTAAAGCTTATCTTAGCCAAACATTTCTTGACCCTGCTTTCCCCTTCTCTCTGCTTCTCTGTCCTCTTTTTCTACTCTTCCTCTTCCAATGCTTCTCCTCTATGACCACCCCTTCCCCACTCCTACCTACTAAACAAACTTGGATCAGTCCCCTCCTCTTTCTCACCTCCTCCAAGGATTCTCACCACCTCAAACCCCTTCCTCCTCTAGGGGACCTTGGGCAATCCGACAAGTTTCCCCTCTTTTCTCAGGCACAAACTCCCCTGCTCCCTCCTCACTGGCCCCAGTGAACCTGTTAAAAAAAAATCTGGGGTCTGTCTGTCAGCCACTTGCATGATCTCAAAGCACACCCATTGTGGGGAGGGGTACTGCCTAATCCTGGAATCCCCTCTCCCTGGGACTTCCCCCTTCCATAGGTCAGGCTGTGACAACAGACTATGTCCACTCTGTGGAACACAGAGCTGCCCCATCCCCAACCCTTGAGACCCAACCACCCTTTATCTGTTCAGTCTCTTGAGTGGTCAATTTTCTATAAAGCTTGCAATAATTTCTGGACCCTCCAGTTTCCCCCTGGAAGTGCCTGTGTCATTCTTCACCCGATCTTGGAGGGGCCCTGGGGTGGACAGCTCACAGACAAGGAGTGGGAGTGAAACACACACACACACACACACACACACACACACACACACTTAAAAACAGAATAAAAAAGTCACCACATATAAAGAGGTGGAAGGGGCCTTAGAGATATAATTCAATCTCTTCATTTTACAAATAGGAAAACTGAAACCCTGAAAAGGGAAAACGCTTACCCAAAGTCACACAGCTATTCAGTGGACTAAGGACGGAATCATAACATGTCAGAACTAGCAGGTACCTTATAGATCATTGAATCCACACCCTTTATTTTAGAGGCGATTGAAGCTCAGAGAGGAGACAGAAAGAACTCAAATAAGTGACAGAGGTGGGACTCATGCAATAGGACAATGACCCTATGTGCTTTTTCTCCCAAAGACTTAGAGCAATAAGTTAGGATTGTGCTATAGCACAAAGAATGAAGTCAGGCTGGGTACAAGGAAAGACTTTATGAGAAGCAGAAGTTGTGGAATGTCAGAATAAATGAGGCAAGTTATGGGATTCCATTAAGCAGCTAGGTAGATAGAACACTGGGCATAAAGTCAAGAAGACTCATCTTTCTGAGTTCAAATCTGGACTCAGACACTAGCTGTGTGACCCTGGGCAAGTCACTTAACCCTTTTTGCCTCAGTTTCCTCAGCTGTAAAATGAGCTGGAAAAGGAAAGGGCAAACCACTCCAGTATCTTTGCCAAGGAAACTCCAAATGGATTCATAAAGACAGACATGATTGAACAGCCCATGCTCCACTGGATACTAGTGTAGCAGAGCATTGGACTTGGAAATCAGAGAACGTGGGGTTCCAGTCCTGCTCCACCACTCATTAGTTATGTGATCTTGGCTAACTCACTTGCCCTCATTGAGCCTTATTCTGCTCACCTGTAACAATATTTACACTTATCACAAAAGCACTTTTTAAACTCTAAAGTGTCAGAACCTCTAATGTGAAAGGATCTCTAGGGTCCTTTCTAGTTCTAACATTCTATTTTCCATGAAAGAGAGGAAAAAGATTGCAAGTGAGGGAGAAGTAAGTAGACCATTAGTGTTAAATCCCAGGTTGATTCACTCTCCCATCAATTCATTAGCCAAGAGGAAGGTCAAAGAGTTTCTTTGCAAAATCAGCCTTACTCTGATAGAATCTATGGCCCTTGATTCCAAAATTATAGGATTTGGTTATCCTAGGATATAGAATTAAGTTGATCAGGAGAATGTCATAGATATAAATTAAAAGTAGTGTGGTGACTAAAGTTGGTCCAATGTCCTACTTTTCAAAATAAGGAAAGAATATAGGTTTTTCAAACTATAAGCCTGGAAGCTTGATTTTTATTCCTGGGGAAAATCTGGAATGAACACTTTGTGAGCATTCTGAGAGGGGAACAGTGGTCACTAAGACCCAGGGTAAATTCAATAAGATCAGGTCATCCCAGACTAATTTTGCTTAGAAATGCCATTGACGTTGTTTAACTGCATTTCAGCAAAGTATTTAACTAAGCCTCATATAGACACAATGGAAACATCCAATGAATGGGCAGGTGTTGGAACCATTTGACTGAGTAGAGTGAAAATACAAAGGCATGTGCCTCATGTCTGAATCAAGAAAAATTTTGAGTTGTCTTCAATATTTCAATATTGCAATGATTGGCTCCTTTTGATGATCTTTCTAACTAATGCAGATAGTGAAGAGGTGACTTACTACTATTCTCAAGTGGAATGAGCTCCCTCAGGAGATGGTGAGTTCTTTAGCACTAGAGATCTTGAAGAGGAAGATCTATGACCACCTACCAGGGACATCAGAGTGGAGAGGATTGCTGTTCAGGGTACAGGTTGGATTCCATGTCCTCTGAGATCCTTTGTAGCTCTGAGATGGCATGATTCTGTGATTCCTTCATACTTGCTGTCCCAAAGTGAAGTAAGCTTATAAAAGAAAAAATGAAAAGTACTTTACTAAAGTAAAGGTTGGAATAGAGGCCATCTGACTTTCCTTCCAGTTCTAAGATTCTATGATTGGAGATGAAAACTCCAGCAATTCGAGGTAGCCCAAGTCAAAGGCTCCAGGGATGCAGGAGAATGGTTACTATAATTACCATTGGGCAAGGTCAATACTAGATTTATAAATCTAGAATTATGCTTTCCCAAACTTCCTCAGAAGTGGAGAGGAATCAATAGCATTGACCACCTCCACTGATGGGAAACTCACCACCTACCTTGAAAGCCATTTTTATTGTGGGAGAATCTCATTACAATTTTCTTCCTTAAACTGAGTTCAAGTCTGCTCCCTTGTTCTTTTTCCTGGGACCAAGAGGAATTCTTTTCCTCTCTAGAATAAATACATCCAGTTTCATAATCCAGCTTCCTATGCTATGGTCACCAGTCCTTTCTCAAAACTGTCCACACTTCTCTGAATTCTCTCTGAATGTCAGTGTCCTTTTGAGAGCATGGTGTCCTGAAATGAACAAAATACTCTAGATGGCTAAGATTCAGTTACTTTTTTGGTCACCATTTCATATTTCACATTGTTGTTTTATATTGAGCATGCAACCCACTAAAAACCCCAAATCATTTTCACATCTCCCATTCCATATTTATGCTGTTTTTTTAACCCAAACACAAGACTTTACATTTATCCCCATTAAATTTTACCTTGTTAGGCTAAGCTCAATATTCCAGGCTGTCAAAATCTTTTTAGATTCTAACTCCGTCTTCTAACATATTAGCTATTTTTCATGTTAGTGTCACCTGGAGATTTGTTAAACCTACCATCTCTGTTTTTATCCAGCTCTTTTTATAAATTTAAAATGTTAAAGGGGCCAAAGGTAGATCCCTGGGACACTCCAGTAAGGTTTTCCCTCCAATTTGACATCAACCCATTAATGGATACTCTTTGGGTCCAGTCACTGAACTAGTTCCAAAGTCATACTATCATTCAGCCCCATCTCTATCTTATCTACAAGTTTAGCATAAAATTTTAGAATATTTCACTGAAATCCAGTGAATTTCTATGTGACTATGGCATTCTCCCAATGTATCAATCTAATTATTTTTGTTCTAGAATTACAAAACCTTATAGTTTATTCAACTCAATGAGTGTTAGGCACCTATCATGTGTAAAGCACTCTACTAGGCCCTGGAGATACAAAAACAAAACAGCCCCCTACCTCAAGGAGCTTATGTTTTCTCAGGAGGTAAAATATATTCACAAATAATTATAATACAAGAAAAATGGAGGATGGGGAGAGCACTGATAGCTGGGGGAATAAAAGAAGGCTTAACAGTGGAGGTTATACCTTAGTTAAGCCTTGAAGGAAGCTAGAGATCCCTAAAGAT